CTGTTCCTTAGATTCTCAGAGCAGGAACTATATTTTTTCTGTTTTTCTCTCTGAAGTGTTGTACATTTTGGTACTGAGTCATTAATGAGGCTTCTAGACACAGGGCTGGATGAGGGAAAGAAACAAAAGAGGTCCCAGACACTTGTCAGTGATTTGCACTCTGGACAGAGCCAAGGACAATTTGCATAGCCCAGTTTCCCCTGGGGTGCCCCTAGGCATTAAATAACTGTCTTTCTACAGCATATTGAGCCTCTTGCTTTTTGATGATGTTGCACTAGCATCATAGGGACTAGAGATGACTTACTATTTGCTCAAAAAGATTTGTATCAGTTTTGGTTTTTGACAGGCTTCTCCAAAATTGATACAACTTGCTCCTGGCTATTTTAAATTCCTTGTAAACCAATGGTTCCATATAAAACCAAAGGACCTATAGGGTTAAATCCCCAAACAACTTGTTGAAGGGTAGTTCTGGGACTCAGGGGTCTAACAAGCCCAGAAAATTGATTTTGCCTTCCATTTTTTCCCTGTGAATAGGAAAATTAAAGAATTAGCTTGAGGCTACAGAGGTCCAACTGTGTTATGTGGCCAGGAATTTTGCAATAGTATAGCAAATCCACTCTCTTGGCTTAAACAGCAACTTCCAGATTGCTTCCCAGAGTGGGGAAAAAAAAGAGTTGGGTTTATGTGGCAAAAATGTGTATTTACTAAATACTAAATTTAACTAAAATCCCCTACATTAAGTAATTTCTATTTACCATCTTTTCCTCTTAAAAATTCAGGTTCTTTTTATTTTTTGCCCTGCTCTTTATACTGAAAAATGGCTTAAAATTCTAGGATGGTCCTCAAGCGGCTAAGTAGTAGGAAAAGATATAAGCTGTGCTTGGATAACTGGTGTATATTAGCTAATATCAGCTAATCGTCTTTCTGCTACAGAAGAAAAAAAAGTCTTTGGTATTAGACTTGTTTTAACTAGATTCTTTACATGTTCACTTAAGTTTACACTATAAATTAAAATTCTTGAAACATAGCAAGATAGTTTTTTTAAAAAAATGTAGACTCGAAGGTTTGATTCAGTAATATAACTTAACAGTGAAGGTCAAGAAAAATCAGAATGTTTTGAAAACTTGATAAAAGCAGAAACATGAAAGTGCACAGCTGATTAATACAGTATTCTTTTGTCAGGTATTTCATAGTGAAGATGAGGTATTTCATAGGTATTTCATAGTAAAAATGTTATCAGTGAAATGCCTTAATATTCTTAGGATATATATTTGGGAGGTTGGCTAAATGGAGAGTTTCTGTCATGAAACTGTATGGACTGGAAGGCATTAAGAAATTAGTCCTGGGTGGCACTGTACATATTCAGTATGTTAGACATTTTAAGAGATCTACAAATACTTGTGCAATCCCTCTCAGGGCTAGTTCTTGATACCTAAGGAATTAACACAGCTTCCATTTGTGGAAGTTGCAGTGCACACTAGGAATGCTGCCTTGGCCCACCTTAAAAGCTGGGCCTGCTGACAGGAATCGTGTGAAAGGCCAGTGTCCATGGTCTGCTGCAAAGAGCGGCTCTATGGCACACTATGGTCGCACCTTCAGATGGCTAAATACAACGCAGTCCTACTAGGATGAACTGATGTGAAATGGTGAATTCAGCAGGAGACGGTTAGAAAACTTGGGTCATCAGCAGCGCCACCGATGGGCAGGGAAGGCAGTGAGATGGCTGCAACAATACCTAAGGGTGGCAGAGGTCAGCAGCAGTGAGGGTAGGCTACAGGACAGCACAGGGCATCGATGCGAGAAGATGGACATGGATGGGACAGATGCCAAGCACAGATTTGGAATGAGGAAATAAGGGCATAAAGGCATATCACCACTTAGCAGAAATCTCACTCGAGGCAGGGGAAGTTGTTGGGGGCTTTAAATGGAGCAGCACAGCTCTTTGGATGTAGTCATGGGATAGCCTTGGGCTCCTGTATGCATTTTGTGCAGCCTTAGAATATATTCACAGAATGGTTAAGGTTGGAAGGGACCTCTAGAGATCATCTAGTCCAACCTTCCTGCTCCAGCAGAGACATCTAGAGCACGGGGCACAGGGCAGCATCCAGGCAGGTTTTGAAGACCTACAGAGAAGGAGACTCCACAACCTCCCTGGGCAGCCTGTGCTAGGGCTCTGTCACCCTCACAGTGAAGTTCTTCCTCACCTGGAGATGGAACTTCCTATGCTTCAACTTATACCCATTTCCCCTTGTCCTGTCACTGGCCACCACTGAGAAGAGTTTGGCCCTTTCCTCCCTACATTCTCCCCTCAGATATTTGTACATGTTGCTAAGACCCCCTCTCGCCCTTCTCTTCTCCAGGGAAAAAAGGCTTAACTTACCCAGTCTCTCCTCATACGAGAGATGTTCCAGTCCCTTAATTGTCTTTGTCTCTCTCCGCTGGACCCTCTCTAGAAGCTCCACATCCCTCTTATACTGGGGAGCCCAGAACTGCACACAGTACTCCACGTGCGGCCTCACCAGAGCTGAGTAGAGGGGCAGGATCCCCTCCCTCAACCTGCTGGCAACATCCTCCTGATGCAGCCAGGATCCCATTGGCCTTCTTGGCCACAAGGGCACTGCTGACTCATGGTTGACTTGGTGTCAACCAGGATTCATGGGTCCCTTTCCGTGGAGCTGCTCTCCAGCAGGTCAACCCCTAATCTGTACTGGTGCCTGGGGTTATTCCTCCCCAGGTGCAGGACCCTGTACGTATCCTTATTGAACCTCATGAGGTTCCTCTCTGCCCAACTCTCCAGCCTGTCCAGGTCCCTCTGGATGGCAGCACAGCCCTCTGGAGTGTCGGCCACTCCACCCAGCTGGGTATCATCCGCAAACTTGCTCAGGGTACACTCCGTGCCCTCGTCCAAGTCATCAATGAACAAGTTGAACAGCGTTGGGCCCAGTACTGACTCCTGGGGGACACCACTGGCCACAGGCCTCTAAATGGACTCGGCCCCATTTATCACCACCCTCTGAGCTCTGCCATCCAGCCAGTTCTCAGTCCTCCTCACTGTGCACCTGTCCAGTCCACACTTCCAGAGCTTTCCTATGAGGATATTATGGGAGATGGTGTTGAAAGCCTTGCTGAAGTCAGGGTAGACAACATCCACAGCCATTGAAGGCTATGAGGTTCATTAGATTCCAGAGTAGGAAAGCGTCCATTTGGGTTTTGGAAGAGAAAAGGGAGATGGGTAAGTAAATGATGAATAGAGCTATGAAATCCAGATACAATCTAATAGATAGTGATTCACTATTGGCACTATTTTAAGTGACAGTTTGCATTCCCTGAATCCGCTCCATTTGCAAAAATACATGTGTAAACTAGCCCGTTGCTTTTTTGTAACGAGGCAAATTAAGAACATGCAAGTGGCTTGTTACTCTGGCTCATATTACTTGCTAAGTGTTGAACTACAGTGACTGAACTAATGGGTATCAGATACTTTTACCAATTTTACCAGGGAAATTAGAGTTCTGTGAATTTGTATTTTTGTTCTTCTAAGCAAGGCTGAGGGAATCAGTTGCCTCTCTTACCCGCAGGCCCTCTGTGTTGACTTGGCAGGTATGGATAAGGGAATAGAAAACAACTTCCCTTCTCACTGGGAAACAGAGCCAGGAATAAAGGAGAAAGACCTAAAGTAATCAAAGTGACATTAGGAAGAAATTAAGTATGACTGTATTACAATAAATATTTTTATTACACATTGAGATAGATGCACAAAACCAGATATTGTGATCATAATGCAAAATCCTTGAGAGAAGATTTATTTAATCTTCCATTCACACAATACAGAAAAGATTTTTTTTTTTTCCTTTCCGTTATTGGCACATTAATCCAATGCCTAATGCCTAAATGTTTCCAAGGATTTGCGACGCGTCTGGCATGGCACTTTCCCACAGATAGCGAAGCCATCGTTTCCATACAGCTGCTAACAGAGATTTACCAAGCCGAGGAGGAACTTTCCCCTCGCTTTTCGGAGCCAGAGGAGCTGCGTGCGCTCCTGCTGGATACTTGGCACGGCCGGGTGGGCAGTGGGGCTGCAGATACCCAAATGAAGACCTTACTGTCCCAAATGAAGACCTCGCTGAGGGGGGAGAAGGGCTTGGGGAGGAGGGCCATCACCAGCAGAGTGGCCTGTGGGGCTGCCGCCGGTGCAGCCGCGGCAAGAGGGAAGTTGGGGGCTGCTCCCCAGCACCGCTTGCAGTCACCCACGGGAGTGGTCCTTCGGTGCACACACGCACCGGCTCCCAGTGTCTCCCGGTGCCCGGGCCAGCCACCCTGTCCTGGGGTCAGGTGGAGGGAGCTCCCAGGCAGGCGCCCCCAGCCTGGCTCTCTCCCCACACCCGCGCTCTCCTGCACCGGGGGCGACGTGAGAGGCAGCGCCTCGAGACGGCTCCAGGTGCCCCCTCGGCTGCCCCCTTTGCTGCCCCGCAGCACGACGTCCCCCCCGGGCGGCCGCGGTCCCGGTGGGAGCCGCGCTCCCGCCCGCAGCCGCGCGGCCGCTTCCAGGCGCGCGACGAGCCGCCCATGGCAAGGGCGGGAC